ATGCAGCAAGTAAAGTGCGAGCAGTCTCCACAATGTGTCGATGCTTCCTTTCTGCACAACCATTCTGTTCAGGGGTATGGGGACAACTTAATTGGTGTACAGTACCATGAAAACGAAAAAATGACTGAAAAAGAGTACTAGTAAATTCACCCCCTGAATCGGAGCGTACAATTTTGATTTTATTGCCAAGTAAGGTCTCTACATACTTGAATACAACAAAAGTAGAATAGGCATCAGATTTGGCCTTTAAAGGAAACAACCAACTATAGCGACTATAGTCATCAACTAACAACATGTAGTACTTAAAACCACTAGGTGAGAGAACAGATGTAGGACCCCAAAGATCACAGTGAAGCAGTTGAAGACTGTGACTTGTAGTAGAACTTGCAGAGCCAAATGGAAGTTTATGGTTTTTAGCAAGAGCGCAATCTGAATAGAAGAAATCAACAGTGGTCTTGCCTTGTACAGCAAGATTATTCCTGGATAAAACCTTTGGAAATAGTGAAGAAGATGGATGACCCAATCTGCGATGCCAAATCTTCGCAGGAGCTTTGACACTAATGAAAGCTGATTTGATGGAATGACAATGTTATTGAAACCGTGCAAGGGATAAAACCCATCTTTAACTCGGCCCCGCAAAAGTGTCTTCCCCGAAGCACGATCCTTTACAGTAGATCCATCAGGGTCAAGAGTTATAGAACAATCATTGTCTTTGAGAAATTGATAAGCAAACAGTAAATTGTGCTTCATATGTGGAACATGTAGGACATTACGCAACGTGAAGGCAGTATGAGGAGTATGTAAATGTGAGGAACCAATATTTTTAATGCACAAACCTTTACCATCGCCTATGTAGACTTTGTCTTCACCGGTGTAGGGAGAGGAGACAGAAGGATTTGCAATATCATTGGTAATGTGTGATAGCTCCCGAGTCCAATAGCCAAGAGGGAGAGGGTTTGGAAGAATAATGAGCACATAAAGCAGCAAGTTTGGCTGGTGGTACTCTTCCAAAGATGTCAGGATTCATCCTATCAAAACAGTCAATAGCTTCGTGGCTAGTGGAACCACAAATTTGACATGGAGTCTTGGTGCCAGACGAGGAGGAAAAGCCTTGATAATTGGATCTGGAGCCTTGAGAATGATTCTGAGAACCACGATGATTGCCATTAAAAGAGCCACGATTGGTATTGCGATTGCGATTGCCTCTGTTGAAGGTGCGATTCTGCCTCCCACGATTAGAGTTGTAACGGAAGGAATTTTGGAGTGGTGGATGATATGCAGGCGTAGGCAACAATGGTATCAGAGATAGGAGCACCAGCGTGCACACATATTTATTCTCGATGCTGGACTACCTCTTTGGGGTTAAGGGAGTTCAGTAAGCGTGAACTTGTCACGGTGGAATTACTCTTACTAGGAGTGGGAGATCATTAGCGTTTCTAGAACATACATCTTTGCGCGGCGATAATATATTAATGGTCTTTTCAATTTTGTTTTAGGCACAGCGTTCTATCCTTTGCAGAGTTGTATGAATCATTCGTGCAGTCCTAACGCGAAAGCATTCAAAAGAGAGGAGGTACGTAAACTTCCGAGTTCCATATGGTAACTGAGATCTTCATGCAAAACCACTATTAAAGTGAACGCCCATTTGCAACTTTTTAAGCATTTCCTTAATAATTTTTGCACGTCTGCATTCATGCTTGTTCTCCATTACCAGGACTGAGTTGGCCAAGCAACGATAATTGCACTCAAACCAATTTCCAAGGGGGCGACGAGGTACGAAATTGAACGTCCAACTCCGGTCTAGTATGCTATTATAAGGTCTCGATATCGTTTCATCGAACTTTGTTCAAATTTTGATGATCACTTCGAATTTTTCCAGGTTACGATTTCTTATGTAGATGAAGACCTTCCTTACGAAGAGACAGGCATTACTTGCAGATTGTGGTTTTAAGTGCAGGTGCCCCATATGCTCAGAAGAAGAGCCATAACCATTGCTAGATAGGTCTACGAGGATTCAAAACGAAGATTGTTTTGTACTTTTCATCCTTTTGTAATAGTATAAAACACCAATAATTCTGTGGTTAAGTAGCTAGTTTACCGATGAAACCGCATGTCTTGGTTCTTCCCCAGTTTACCATTTCTGTTTCAGCGTCGTTCGAATCAATCGTTTGTACACCAAAGTAGTTACTGAATTCAACTGTTCTTGTTACCCGGCTTATGATAAACAGAAACAAAATGAAATACGGCTTACAAAAATAGCTAGTACTATGCGATGCACAAAATATCATATGAGATTGAAATAGTCAATAGAGGTCGAGTTGTCAAACGAGATAGTAGATACAATAGTACAATACTACTTCATCACTGGCCGTACACGTGTCCCATCAAATCATATATAACCATTTCACCAATAGCATATAGTTCATGGCTGATTTGGGTTTAGGCATTGATAAAATTATTTTAAAAAAGCTGGAGTTAATATTTTGTTTGATAAATAAAAAAAAAAGTTAACTTTTTTCAAAACCATAGATTTAAAACAGTAAAAAACAGAAGCAGCTCTTCCTGTTAAGTTGGATTCACGTTGTTAGAGCATCCCCAACGGGGGTTTTAGGCCATCTCCAACCGAAGAGTCAAGAGGGCCAGAGGGCCGAAAATAGTCCGAAAATCGTCTCCAACAGAGGGCTAGGCCAGAGGGCTCTGGAATCTGGGAGGACCCCACGAAATCGGAGAGGGCTAGAGGGTTGGAGCCAGCTAGCCCGGGGCTGGCTAATTTTTTTTTTTTAATGTTTTGTTATTTTTGTCAGTTATAACTGACAAGAATACATGCTATTATTTAGTATAAATGTTATTACTGTCGGTTATTTCTTAAGAAAAAATTCAAATGCAATGGCTAGTAGCTGTTGCATTTGTTTTTTTTTTTTACAGTTTTATTATTATTATTTTTTTACAAAATTTTTCATATAACTTCTATTTTTTCCTATAACTTCTATTTTATATTAACACCCCACAAAATGTTGAATGCACCCCACATTAAAATTTAATATTAAATGACTTATTTACTCCACTATGCAATGGTAATTTTGACCTTATTAGGTTTTAAAAAAAATAAAGATTTATAAATACACCCACCTTATTAGGTTTAAAAAAAATAAAGATTTATAAATACACCCCAAATCACTTTTAGCGTATTATTTATCTTCTCAACTATCAAACATGTTGATTAAGAAAAATTGTTTTTGACGAATGGAACACGAAATCGATGTTTCAGGAGCTTCACATGAGGTAAGACTTCATAGTTTTCATTGTTTTAGTGATTTCGATGACATCGATAATTATTTAATCTTGCGTTTGCTGCATTATTTAAACTTCTATATTCATATTCATCTTTTAGTGTTCATATGGTTAGATTCAATCCCTGAAAATTAAAAATGAGTGTTATAAGATTTGAGAAATGTGGGGTGTAAAGAAAATGTGGGGTGTATGTACAAAATATAAGATGTATATTGAGAATGTGGGGTGTGGGGTATTATGGGAAAGTAAGTGGGGTGTATTAAGATAAAACTTTAAGTGAAAAAGCAAATGTAGGGTGTATTAAGTTTGTGGGGTTTATTCAACAATTTGTGGGGTGTTAATATAATTAGCCAATTTATTTCATATTTTTTTTAAATTCCATTTTTTTCCTATAACTTCTATTTCACAAAATTTGTTTCATATATTTTTTTTAAATTCCATTTTTTTCCTATAACTTCTATTTCACAAAATTTGTTTCATATTTTTTTTAAATTCTATTTTTTTTTTCCTATAACTTCCTAAGCCATTATACAACATTAAATTAAATTAAGTAACATGAAACAACATTAAACAATATGAAACAACATTAAATAACATTAACCAACATAAAAATTATACAACATGAAACTTAAACAACATTTTAAAAAACATTTAAGTTGTAGTTTTTAAATAATAAATTATGTTTGGCCCTTTGGCCCTTGGTTGGAGACGGTTTTTTGTGACATGGCTAAAACGAGTCCTCTGACCCTCTGGCCCTCGGTTGGAGACGGATGCAAATATGGCCATGTACTGTTCATTAAAATATTAATATCTTGGAGAATCTTGAAGGGCTAGAGGGCTAAAACGAGCCATCTGGCCAGCCATCGGTTGGAGATGGCCTTATCTTCCATGAGGCTACCAAATTTCTAGCCTTAGCGAGAAATTTCATCCCCAATGAGCCGGAAAATGGGGCTAGATCCACCACTGGGGCTAGCAACTTCCCTTGTTGGGTAGCATAAAATCGGGCTACATCTACCTCCAAAAAACAGTGGGTCCCACTAAAAAAGTAGCAACCCATGTAAGCAAAATTTTATCACTCTCTATCCACTTGCGAATACACTTATACTCTCTTTTTATTATGTTTTTAATTCTTTTTTCTTACTTATTTTTCTTGCAATTTCGCTAATTAATGATTGTTTTAAATTCCTTAAGAATGAAAATTTCAAATTGATTTAACGTTCATAAGCATTGATGGGTGAAATTTTCAAATATTTTTTTTCAAAATTGTATGATACTAATTTACCAATTGGTGCTAGGTAAATTGTTGTGTTATATGTGAAAATCAAATTATTTTATAGGGCAAAATGGAGGTTTGTTTCTTTCAACAGATGAGATTGAGATAAGGGAATCTAATTCAACAAATGATTCATAAGTGATTAAATCTAACTTTGTCACAATTTGAACTTTTTAGGTTGAAGGGTTAAAAAAAAAATTTAAGATAGCACGTCCAAAAATCAATTTAAGAAAAGCTAACACACACAAACAAATTATCACTTAATTAAATTACTACATAAATAAATATATATAACCTCATATAGAGCCCGAAAGATATAACCCCAATTAGGAGATATTCCTTAATAAAACCTCAAAGGTTTCTCGAAACTCTAAAATGGGTTATATCCATTACTTTTCTAGCCCCATATAAAGCCCTTAAATGGGAATCCTCTAGGATGGGCCACCAACTTTTTATCAGTTTGTGTCAGAGCGACCCGTTATGGAACTTGGTTGCGCTTACTTGTAAGTTCACTGCAAAGGGCGGTGTTTGTGACGTGTACCTGGTGGGAACGTGTCACATTTTGGCGGTAAGATAACTCAATGCCTGTTTGGTTAGTAAGAAAATTCGAATTTTCTGGTTTAAGTCTGGTTGGTGAGAAAACTTGAAATTGAAAGCTTTGGTCTTTGGTTTTGTGTGTGAATTGTAGAAATCGTGCAGAGAAGTGGAAGCAGTGATCAGACATTTGAAACCGGAGGTGCTTAATCCATTTTTAAACGTACTTAATAAGGCTTGTATTGAGTTAATTCCAATAACAATGTCATGAAATTATGTTAAATTATGATGAAGTGTATGCATTTCGTGCGGTGAATGTAGGTTGTGTTCTTGAAGTTATGCTCGAGTCGAGTGGCTGCACTCACCCCTCCAAATTTGAAGGATTTGAAGGTCCGAATCTATGATCAGGTTGCACTTAATTTTCGAATAACCGAACATGATTACCAATGCATTTAGTTCCTCAGGAACTGACAATGGAAGAAATGATCGAAATGTGGAAGAAAAATCATAACGCCTTTGAAATTTATGGTGGGATTTTTTCCAAGGCATGTTTTCAAATCCTCCAAAGTTATTTTACTATCGTAAGTTCAGAAAGTTATCATCTTTGTTCCAACTATACTAATCATAATTTCCACAATGTTCTCAATAAATTCAAGCAGTGTAATTTTCGTGTAAATTTCTGCTAGGTTTTAAGTGAGCTTGAGGTGTTTCCCGGTTCTGAGTTTGCTGTAGCATATGAAGAAGCAAGGAAGTATGGCGGTAAGGTGATACTTGGTGATCGCCCAGTGCAGGTATAATACATTGTACCTTATAGTTTTGGTGCCCTCTATGAATTGCCGCCTGCCCTATGCCACCCCTGCTAGATTCCGCCTTTATATGAAGAAACATTTATTAGCTTTAATGTAATTTTGATGTGTGTTGAAAGTGCATTTTTATTTTGAAGGGTGATTACGATGAGATTTCTTCCAATCGAGTGCTATAGCTTTATCATTTTTTATGTCAAGATACTCTCTAGATGAAACCGTAAACCAGACTTTCGGAATGTTTATGCTTGAAGTTCTCTATCATGTTCATTCCTTGCAAATTTGGGGGCAATTTCAAAATTATATTATTTATTGCCTGTTAATTGTCCCACTTTTGAACTCAAAAAACAAAAAAACAAAAAAATAAAAAATAAATAAAAATTGTCCCACTTTTATGATTCCTTATTCTTTTATACGCTGACCCTGCTTAATAGCTCATCATTTACAAGCTGGCTTTTTGTACCATATCTTCCTGGATGCCAGACTTTGTATTATGTTCCTTGTGAAGAACTACTTTGATATGAATTTACACTGACTGAAACAGATTACGGTAGGAAGGACGCGGGCAATGATGCCACTTTGGCATAAGATAAAACTGCTGTATTCCTTGCTTTTCTTCCGGTAAACATGCACTTGATTTGTTGAAAGGAAACCACTTTTCTTCTAATGTATAGTTTCATTAATTAATGATTTGGTCTTGCGTATTTTCAGTTAGAGAAAATGGATGATGATGACGTAATGATTTTCATTCAAGAGATGGGCAAGAAATACCCAACTCTAATTGAAACATTCGTACATGAGCGAGATCGGTAAGTCTTCTGAATATTTATTCTATGAACTAATGCTAAGATCAAAAGATGATGCCATGTTATCAAATTTTGTTACTTTCCGACCTTTTATCATCATTTTTTTTCCTGATGTGTTGGTACTATCAATTTGACCACAAAGGTTTATAATAGTAATAAGCTCTTGTCTCCAGACCGCAAGTTAATTAGATGTATAGTAAGAAATAGTGATGGTGGTGATGATGATCGGCGTATGTTTAGTGTTTTGAGTGATCTATTTGCAACCTCCACGTATGCTTGTGATGGTTGGAGAGGGTAAAGGTTTGCATAAATTCATATAATTTTGTAGATCTGATTTTTTAACTGTTGATGTTTAGGTACATGTCGTTAAAATTACTGAAAATTGCCAGCAAGCATCGTTCAGTAGTTGCAGTAGTGGGAAAGGGGCACCTCCAAGGGATTAAGAAGCATTGGCAGCAGCCTGTTGTGGTTGGTGATTCCTTCCTTTTTATTACATTCTATTTAGTTGTATCATATCCCTACATGTCGGAAGTGATTATGCAGGCGGATGTGTTTTCTGGTCCGCCTTGGTTATCCAATTTCTTGTTTATAATTTCTTGTCATTTTTCATCAAATTGGACCTGAAATATTGTTGGCTATGTTTGGATAGTACTTCTTTATCTCCAAACTTCCATGCTCTGTGTTTTTCCATGTATTGCAGCTGGAGGATCTCATGGTAAGTCCATCAAAAAAGCCGGGTTCTTCCACCAGGAGAATCCTTAAATCTATGGGCGTGGCGGTGACTGTGGCAGCCATTGTATCAGGTATCTATTTTGCATCCAAGAGCAAGTAAAGCTTGTTAATATTTCTGATCACCATTCAGGGTGACCGTATGTAAAAAGCCATGATCGTCTAACAAAGGTTTCTGGCAGCATAGCAAAACTGAAAGCTCCTCCAACTCTTAGTTTAGTGATCTTCTAACTTATTGCCACTCGGGTGCCTTTCATAGATGGAATGCAAGGATTTAGTCCCTTAAACTCACATTAAAACTGACTCCACTGATCCCTACAGTCATGATCTTAGTGGATTGAAATCAACTAGAGTCGTGCTTGAAGTGGGCATATGACTAATTCTCATATGTTAACTAATTAACAATATCATTGTCACTTAGTACTACAGTCTAGTTGTATTCCTCTTTATTTGTAAGTGAGAGGTTCTAAGTTCTATATTCACCAAAGGCGAATTTCAACCACATAATTGGTAGCTCATTGTGAGACCACATAATTGCTGAAAATACTATAATGCCTTTTATTGGAGAGAGAGAGAGAGAGAGAGAGAGAGAGAGAGAGAGAGAGAGAGAGGCGTGTGTGGGTGTTTGTAAGTCATGGGGCAGTAGGGCTTCGCTAACTCCTATTGAGTAGTTGCCGTTGCTGAGCGGCTCAAGTCAAATATAATTCTAACCAAAACTTGACATGAAAATACTAGAATGCCCTTTATTGGAGAGAGAGGTTGCAAAGGAAGGGGAGAGAGAGAGGCGCGTGTGGGTGTTTGTGAGTCATGAGTGTGGAGCCAAAAATATTCTCAAGGCGACACGTGGATTTTTGGACAAAAATAACAAAAATACCCTTGCAGTACAACGAGGTTCCTACACGCAAGCAGCGGGTAACCCTCTTTCAATCAAGACAGAAGTGCCCAAAATAGGTAACAATTCAAAGTCCATCTCATCAAATCCTTTCTACAAGGTAATTCCCAAACACATTCCTTTTAAATTATGTTAATTGGCTAATTAATGGGTTTATTGCCTAATTAACCCATTAATTGTCAATTAAACCATCCATTATATCCAAATAACCACAAAACACATCCAATTCAACCCAAAAACACCACATGGCCGGCTATCCCCATTCAAAACCTAATCCACCTCCCTTTTCCTAACCTTTTTCACTTTTCTCCATTTTATTATCCCATTTATACAAATAATCAATTTTGTAACTCCTAATTAAACCTAAATTAAACCCAAAAAACCCTAGCCACCTCCTATCCCTATAAATATACTCTCATTCTCACCAAAAAAGCCAATTCCAACACTTTGGCAAAAATCCCAAAATTCTCTAAACACTATTTCTCTCTAAATTCTAACTTTGGCATCGGAGGTTCTTCGGCCAAAGCCCCCCCCCCATTCATCGTGGGCGCGTGAGGCTCTTGGCCTTAACCTAAGGTGTTAATTGTTTTGTAGGTGCAAAATTGTCCAAGATCAAGGAGGAAAAAATTTACATCCACAATGGAGATTAGGGCTTTGCTAACTCCTATTGAGTAGCCACCGTCGATGAGCGCTTGGCGGCTCATGTCAAATCTGGATATCGTGGCAAGGCATGGAATTCTTCGATCTCTTCCGTTTTCCAAGTAAAAACCCTTCACCCATTTTTCTCGATTCCTATTTTAATTCCCTATTTTCCTTGCTTTTTGTGCAATTGCTTTGGGAAATTATGAACAAAAGGCAAAACTGTGTCAAACTCAGTTCGCCACAAATGGTGGGGATCCCCATTCTACATGTCAAGATTTGTGGAAAAATACCCCACACCTTTGGGTGGAGCTTATTTCCGACAAATGGTGGGGATCCCCATTCCACGTGCCAAGATTTGTGCACAAATATCTAAAACCCAGCTGGTGGAGAGCAACTTAAGGGGTGTTGGGGTCATGAATCGAATGATGGGTGTGAATGATCTTATAGAGAAGAAATGGGGCCGGAGCTCTTGGAGTGAAGTTTTAATGGCTGACAAATGGGTGTTTTCGCAGTCGCCAGGCTGCCAACAAGGGGCAACTGCCTTTGTTATTTTTCGCTTTACCCAGGTTGTTTTGCTTTACCTCTACTTTTCAAACATTTGGTCCAATATTTTCAATCGCCTCACTGTCCGCCCCTAACACCGCAAGTTTCATCCCCGCCGGTGGTGGTGGGGGTCTAATATTTTGTGAAAAAAATTTGGAGGAAATGTGAGAAGCTCGGTAAGCAGATGTGTCGACAGAAAACGAAGACCGGCCAGTAAACTTCTCAGTTGTATTTCCAATCCTTCTGTTGGTACAAGTAGCTCAATGCGACTATTTCTTGTTGTCCAAGGTTTGGCTATTTTATCATAAAAATCTGACTGATTAAGCTCAAAGTAATTATTAGCTAATTTTTTCATGGTTGAGACTTGAGAGAGAATAAATTTGAATTTAGACCTCAAATCCAAATCCTTTACTCAAATTAAACCTCAACAACTCTTAAAAGTTTGTTCTCTCTCAACTTACGTGAATAAATATAAGTGTGCGTTGTCATTCCAACTCACCGATCTTATTTTTTCACCCGTCTTATATTCGCTTGTTATAACGTAGGGTAAAAAACATGACAGATGAGCAAATGATAGCATTCAAATATCTCCTTTCTTTTCCTATGTGTAAGAAAGCATCTTCCATACTCTTTTGTGAAGAATAGCAGAAAATTCAAACTTTGAAGACAAACTGTCAAGAGCACTTTTGATTTGTTGATGGTTCTTTTATTCGAATGCAGAAGCACTTTTTGTTGGAAAATTAGTTATGAATTATTTGGGTTTGCTTGTTAGTTTAGGATTTAAGTTTAACCTATTATCGAATTAGGGTTTCTTAAGTTTTGTGCTCTATTTATATATGGCGTATAGTTTAGTATGAATAACAAGTCAGCCATAATGTAGCATTCAGTTTGTAGTCGTCTCAGCATTCTTATTTTTTGTTTTTCCGTCAACAAAAAAAAACTTCGTAGTTTGTTTGTATGTTAGTTAGCATACTCTGATTTTCAGAGCAGGTTTAATCCTTCAGAATTTAATTTGCTTTGGGTTGGTATCATTTTGTTTGTGTCCTTTGTCGTTCGTGTTCAGATTATTTAGGTGCGTTTGATAGTTTGCAAGAAAAAAATCTTATGAGGAGGAAAAAGAGGGAAAAAAAAGGAGAAGAAGAAAAGAACGCAATCACCACGCTGCGTTGGAGTATCTGCTGCTGCAAGACTTGGTCTTGAGTTTTCAAATTCCCGAGGTGAATTTTCAAATGGTTCCCCTTGTAGATTGATAAATAGACATTTTTTTACAAACTAATTAATTTTATTAACAATGATAAAATATTACGATTAGAAAATAGTGTATGTTGAAAAAAAAAAATGATTACAGTTGAAGGGGAGGAAACAGATGCGATCTAGAGAGCACAACTGAATACATAAACGATGCCAAAGTCAAAAGTCCAAAATAAAAATAAATTGGAGAGCTATAGATTGAGAGATGAATACCTTCTAACCCTCAAAACCTTATAATTGTACAAAGGATATAAGCATTGTCCATATTACACTTTGTTTAAATGTTGAAATTAATGGATTTATTTGTTCTTACAACTAAGATTAGATCATAGGCTATATGAACATTAACTATTACAGGTGTTGTGCATGTGAGCTGAGTCATGTTGTAGTTTGAGCGGGTTTACAACTGTCATCTTGCTTATTCCTATTTGCTGAGTAATCGAATCCAAGAGGCGCAACGTACTCCATCTTCTCACTTCATTGATCAGCTAAATCAAATTGAATTTTCAATTTATTAAATATCAAAGCTTAATTGGACTACAAAACACTAATTGCAAAAATTAAGATGACAAAGTTTTAAGTTTGGATGTTAATTTGACGATGGAAGAATCCTAATTAGATGAAAAAATTTTGCCGCGCGCACGGCCCTCTCTGATACAAAACGCACAGCTTCATCTTGAACAGCTTCCTCTCCGCCATCGCGCCGATCGGAAAGAATATCGGAAGCGTAGGAGCTAAGTTGCAGACCAAGGAAGTGAAGCCCTTTACACATATATACTTCATCATTGACCGTACACGTGTCCCATCAAAACAATATAGCCATTTCTCCAGTGACGTACGGTTCAGTCTCTTGGCAAAGATGTTATGATTCGCTCGACTCGCCTGATCGCCACACTCTACTCGCCCGAGTCACGCCACGTCTTCCTCTCTCTCCGCCGCTCTCCGAACACCCTCGCGCAATTCTCCACCGTAAGGAATCTCAGATTTGCAGCCACTGCCACCGCCGGCGGTCCGCGTCAGCGCGACCCGATACGGCTCCTGATGGATGCGGAATCACCCTTGCCCGACCCGGCGGCATCCGAAAACTTTGTCCACGTCGGGAACCCTACGATTGGGGACTTGGCCGATAGCATCGTCGGTGTCGATGCGCCGAGGGACGAGTACGACGACAATGTTTCGACGACCGCCGAGGCTGAGAGTTCCGAACAGAGGAGGTTTCTTCCTGAGGAGCTGTCGAGGAGCGTCGTCGTGCTCACTTGTGAGTCCACGGCTGAGGGCGGCGTTTGCGACGTGCACCTGGTTGGAACGGCTCATGTTTCGGTGGTAAGACAATTCAATTCCTGTTTGGTTGGTGGGAAAATTCGATTTTTCTGGTTTATGTTTGGTTGGTGAAAAATTTTGAATTGAAAGCTTTGGTCTTTGGTTTTGTGTGTGAATTGTAGGAATCGTGCAGAGAAGTTGAAGCAGTGATCAGCTATTTGAAACCACAGGTGCTTCATCCATTTTTAAACTTGCTTAATAAGGCTTATATTGAGTTAATTTCAATAACAATGTCATGAAATTATGTTAAATTATAATAAAGTGTATGCATTTCGTGCGGTGAATGTAGGTTGTGTTCTTGGAGTTATGCTCGAGTCGAGTGACTGCACTCACCCCTCAGAATTTGAAGGTCTGAATCTAATATCTATGTTCAGGTTGCGCTTAATTTTCGAATAACCGAGCATGATTACCAATGCATTTAGTTCCTCAGGTGCCGACAATGGGAGAAATGATCGAAATGTGGAAGAAAAAGCATAATGCCTTTGGGATTGTTTACAGCTGGTTCCTTGCCAAGGCATGTTTTCATATCCTTCCTTGCGAAGTTATTTTACTTTCATGATTCCGAAAGTTTTCAACTTTGTCCAACTATAGTAAGCATAATTTCCATATTTTCTCAGTATATTCAAGTGGTGTAATTTTCGTGTAATTTTTTTTGCTAGGTTTCAAGTAGGCTTGAGGTGTTTCCCGGTGCTGAGTTTCGTGTAGCATATGAAGAAGCAATGAAGTATGGCGGTAGGGTGATACTTGGTGATCGCCCAGTGCAGGTATAATACATTATACCTTATCTTTTTGGTGCCCTGATATCTATCAATTGCAGCGTGCCCTCTGCCACCCCTGCTACATTTCACCGTTTAGATGAAGAAACATTTATTAGCTCCCAAGTAATTTTGATGTGTAATGGAAGTGCATTTTGATTTTGAAGGCTGATTATGATGAGATTTCTTCCAATCGAATGCTAAGCTTTGTCTTTTTTGTTGTCAAGATTCTCTTTAGATGAAACTGTAAACCAGACTTTCAGAATCTTTATGCCTGAAGTTCTCGTTCATTTCCATTCCTTGCAAATTTGGAGGCAATTTCAAAATTCTATCATCGATTGCATGTTAATTGTCTCACATTTATGTTTCTTTATTCTTTTTTACACTGACCCTGCTATAATAACTCATCGTGTACAAGCTTGCTTTCCGTAGTCATATCTTCCTGTATTTCAGACTCTCTATTATTTTCCTGGTGAAGAACTACTTTGATATGACTTTACACTGACTGAAACAGATTACGATACGAAGGACGTGGGCAAAAATGCCACTTTGGCATAAGATAAAACTGCTGTATTCCTTGCTTTTTCAAGCAGTCTTTCTACCCAGCCCTGATGCTCTTAATAATATGGTAAATGTCTACTTGATTTGTTAAAAGGAAACCACCCCCTTCTGTGCTGCTAATGTTTAGTTTCGTTAATTAATGACTTGTTCTTGCGTATCTTCAGTTAAAGGAAATGGATGATGTTGACATGCTGACTCTCGTGATTCAAGAGATGAGCAAGGAGTACCCAACTCTAATGGAAACACTCGTACATGAACGAGATCAGTAAGTCTTCTGAGTTATTTATTCTATGAACTAATGCTAAGATCAAAAGATGATGCCATGTCTTCTAATTTTGTTCCTTTATGCCCTTTTATCATCATTTCTTTTTCCTGATGTGTCGGTACTAACAATTTGACCACAAGGGTTTATAGTAGTGATAAGTTAGTCCAGACTGCAAGTTAATTAGATGTATAGTAAGAAATGGTGATGGTGGTGATGATGATTGGTGTATGTAAACTTTTAAGTATTTTGAATGATCTAATTCCAACCTCCACGTTTGCACAAGTTCTTATAATTTTGTAGATCTGATTTTTAACTGTTGGGTGTTTAGGTACATGTCATCAACATTACTGAGAATTGCGAGCGAGAATCGTTCAGTAGTTGCAGTAGTGGGAAAGGGGCACCTCCAAGGAATTAAGAAGCATTGGCAGCAGCCTGTTGTGGTTGGTGAATCCTTCCTTTTTATTAAATTCTATCTAGTTCTATCATATCCCTACCCGTCGAAAGTGATAATGCAGGCAATTCAGTTCCTTTCCTTATCATGCACCTTAGATTTGTTTTCTGGTCCACCTTGGCTTTCTGATTTCTCGTTGATAATTTCGTCATTTTTCATCGAATTTGATGTAAAGTATTGCTGGCTATGTTTGGATAGTACTTATTATTTATCCCTAAACCTCCATGCTCTGTGTTTTTCCATGTATTGCAGGTGAAGGATCTTTTGGTAATTCCATCAGAAAGGTCAGTTTTTTCCACCCGGAGAATCGTTAAATCTATGGGTGTGGCGGTGACTGGGGCGGCCATAGTATCAGGCATCTATCTTGCATCCAAGAGGAAGTAGAGCTCAGAAACTGAATACTGACCACTTGAATGAGAGGTTGAAGGCCAGCCAATATACATGTGATTCTTTAGGGAAAATTTTATTTGACCCATATAACCTCTTTTTTAAATCCAACTATCAATATTTCTTTGATCTCAAATTTATTTCCTAAACTTCTCTCAGTATATAAATTTATTTTTACACCAATTTAGAAAATAATAACCTAAAATCAGTATTATGCAGCTCATTCGAGGCGTAGAAGAGAGTAGCATCTCTCACATATTTGTCTCATGCTTAATTCTGCTTTTGTTGCATAGTTATCATTACTTGTATTCATTTTTTGGCTTGTTTGGAAGTTGGGGACCACAAAGTCCTTGGCTCCCCTCAAGTGCAGTGCCATTTTTTTTTCTCAAACGATAAATTTTGTTAGATTAGAGGTTAGATTAGGCACTGATGGAGTTTGAACTCATGCCTTCATGCAAGAGTTCAACATCTTTCTACTATTATGGTAAAGAGCACTTGTGTAGTGGCATTCGAGTCTTTGATTTGAGTGCCGGATGTATTTTTCCTGAAGGTTATTGTAGGTATCGTTTGGTACATGAGATGTGACAGAACAAAGTGAGACGGAACGCACTTGTACTATGTTTGGTGTGCCGAATTGTGTGAGACGCACTGTCCTGTGGATTGAATTTTAGCCATTTTTTCGTTCCACCTTTCCTCTGGACTTGTTCCGGGAAACACAAAGTTGTAATTTTTTTGGACAACAATACCCCTCCTCTTCGAACCCAATCCCAGATTCCCAGCAAACCCATCCGAACTCGAACCCAGCTTCCTCCCACCGCCTCCCTCCTCCTTGCTTAATGCCATAGTCTCTAGAACGCTGCCATGGAAGGTTGCTTGATGAGGTGCTCTCCTGAAAGCCCCCAAACCTCTCACTGCGTTCTTTTTCTTCACGTGCGTCCTTCTCTGCTTTCTTCTCCGCATCGTGTCCTACACTCACCAAGCACCGGCAAGATCACACCACCGGTCCAAACCACCACCAATCTTTCTCTCTCTCCTCACCCTGAACCCAGAATCTCGAATGAGACCTCAGATTCGGCCTTCAATCGAAGAACCCTATAGCTTCGTTTCGAGAGAACTTCGGCGATTCAAGGTTTTCAAATCGAAACTTTGGTCATGCATACACCAGTGAGCTTGAAAGATTTGATTTTTTGGGATTTGATTTTCCTTACGAAGGTTTATAACTTCGGAGGGTTTGCAGAAGTTGATTGGGTTCTGGGTTGGGTGCTTTGCGTTCTTCCTCTCTGTGAAGGGAGGCTGGATTTGTGAGTTTTCTGGGATGCCAATTAGTTCTAATCAAATTGAATAATTTCTGGATTATGTTAATAGAGTGGTTGATCAAATTTTGGGATAAGCATTTGTACGATTTCTGATTTATGGGATACCAAATTGAACGATTTCTGATTTCTCTGGAATTTGGGTCAAGCATTTGTTTTTGGAAGTTCTGTAATTTCCAAGGTGCAGAGAAGCACCTACAATTTGCTAAGAAGAAGCCATTTTTTTCATATATTAATGTTGATATTTTTAATAGAAACAACAGTGTTGGATTTGCTGAGATGATTGTTGTAAGAGAAATATATAATGAGTGGAGAGAAATGAGGACTTGAAAATTGATTGAGATGGTAGTTATTGTAATCGTTCCGTCCCATGCATAAATATTGTATCAAACAACAGACGGAACAAGAGTAAGTTAGTCATTTAATCTTTTAGTTCTGTACTGTCATGCGCTTACCAAATGTAGAACGGAATAACCGTCCTTTCAGTCCTACTCGTACCAGACATAACAGAGAACCTCCGTTCTGTCCTGTCCCATCCCGTTCCGTTCCGTCATGTCCCGTCTTGTTCCGTCTTGTCCTGTCTGCGTACCGAAGGTACCTCAGTGAACAAGAAATTGAGGCTGGACGATGATGATGGGATTTTGGGGCAGATGATTTCTCGAGAGGTCTAATCTTTCCAAACTTGTGAGGTTCGATACTTGGTTTGGAATTTCTCCATACAAGTTGTTGACGCTAAGATCTAGTTCTCGAAGAAGTTGCAATTGGCCAATCTCAAACAGTATATTACCACTTTAACTGTTAATCCTTAGGAAGATTGCTCTTGGCATGTTGGACAGGCTTGTACTGCAAGGCAGTTATGCATTTGCATTAAAATGTTGGTAGATGATGGGAAAACTCTAAATAAAATTGAAATTAAATGATAATAATTTGAATAATAAATTACTATCTTAGTTGGAGGATTTAATATCACAATCTATTGGTCAAAATGAGTTTGTTTTCTATAAGAAAGGGTCTTAAGATTTTAAGAAAACTAATGAAAATGGTTTGAAAACTTTTAGTTTTAATGATAAGGACAAAATAAAGGGTAAAATGAATAGTACCAGGATTGACTTTTTAGTGTAAAAATCTGGTTTTTCGTTAAAGTGAACAGTACCAAGTACTTTTCGTTAAAGTTCCCTAAGATTTTAGCTAGAACGAATGTAGAAAGGTTGCGTGATGATAAGGTTTGAATATTAAGAGTGGATTTATTGATAAATTATAATTTTACTATTAAGTTTATCTTATTTGATGTTAATTATGTAATAGGATAAAAAAAAATCATATATAAAGTTTAAGTTAGGTATATATGAGTTCAAATAAAATTTATCAATTCTTTATTGTTGAGCAATAATCAAGATTATTACCAAAACGTGCTAAAAGTTAGTTTTTTCTCATTTGTTCCCTTAATTTTTCTCAACTGGGTTTGCCTTCCTCCCCAGGATCTGTATGGGTTTTTGCAGTTGCCTGCCTGCCTACAACGGGAAACCCCTTTGTTCCAAAGGGCCTTGATCAAAAGGCTAAAGCGCATTGATTAAAATTCTAAAAAAAATTCAAATTTTGAGCGTTTATATCGAATCAACTCTTTTGTAAATACAAGTTCAGGTGACTACCAAGGCTCCTGACCTTTCGGTCCAAAATTTTCAATCGTGTCACTGCCCAACCCTAAAGCCGCAAGTTTAATCACCGGTAAGGGGGGTCTAAGTTTTGTGAAAGAAAAATAGGAGGAAATGTGAGAAGCTCGGTAAGCAGATCTGTCGACAGAAAACGACGACCGGCCAGTAAACCTCTCAGTTGTTTCAATTTAGCTACAGCCGTTTTGGCCAAAATCAAGATAAGGATACCGAGTTTTGTTTCCAATCCTTCTCTTGGTACAAGTAGCTCAATGTCACTGTTTAGTATTGTCCAAGGTCACACCATTTTAGAATGCAAAAGCACTTTATCCATCGGCAAAAGCACTTTTAGAAATAGGTATGGATTTGAAGTGTATTAATGTATGAGGAGTTTCCCGGATCCAATGGCATTGCCAAGCCACTGATCAGAATAGCCACAATAATCAATTTGGCGTCCGAGCCATTACATCAGGAGGAACCAAATAATCCTCTAGAATTGGTAATGGACGCAGATTTCAAATCTTTATTTCAATTTCATCCAGAAATTAATAAAAATACTTAAAATAATTTCAAAAATATTGTGGGGAGTGGAAGCTCAGTGGAAGGAGAAGTCGTTTTGTTAGATGAGCTCACGGAAAGAACCCCCAGAAGAGGCCTCGTCCACTGCCCCAAACACGTCCAAGTGTTTCATCTCATCATCGCAACCGCAACCCAACATTCAAAATTAAAAAGAAAAACAAAAATTAATCTAGCAAAAATAAATACACAAAAATATATGAGATTTGAGCCTCAGTGTGTGTAACAATCAGATCATTGACCCTGAAGCCTCACTGAAATCCGCTAAGATAATTGTATGTTATCATCATAAGCCCCAATTGCACCACAAAACCCTAACTTTGCAGAAATATATATCAACAAATTTAAGAAATTTCGTTGAAAAATTTATGGGTTATTGCTAAAAACCAAAAAGATGAGATGGGTAATCTTTGAAAAGCATTTATTATTCAAACCAGAAGATTGGAAGATGTTGGAGCAGATGAAGAAGGTGTGCTCAGACAGCCAAGGGTTTGTAATCAAGCTTTTGGGAGAAGAACCCAGATCATAAACTCTAGTCCACAAAATTGCCTCATCACCGCACACTTCTGAATCAATACAAAACAAAGGAGAGCAGCATAAATTTGGATTTGAATTTGATTGGAAACCCTAGATTTTGGATCTGAGAAAATTTCGGCAGGTATTGGTGGGGGAGGCGGGGGGGAAGAGGGGGATGAGAAGGTTAAGAAGTTGGGTTGTATATATAGGCAGCGTTTAGGGTGGGGAAGTTGAGAGTGTTGGAGGGTTTCGGCATTTTGGGTTTTGAGGGCTACACAGAAATGGGCCAAATGAAATAGTTGGAGCCCGTTGTAAGTTAACGTGCCCTTTTCTTTGGTGGAATAATGCTTAGTATAATATTAGTTTTCTTTCACTAGTGGGGATTGAGAATTTAAACTTGAGGCTTCTTTAAAATTTCAATATCAAGAAGGGAAATATTATTAGATTAATTAGCTAGTTGGTTCTTGACAACATTCTTGATTTGTATGTTTTAGCAACCAAATCATGATTGATATGCATTTTCAATCTATATACACAATGGTAGCATGGATGACGAAGGAAAAAAGGGGTGAATTACGTTTGTTTGATTTAGGAGTCTCACGGTGGCATGGTTCTCCACTCTTGTTTTCTTCCTCCTACGCCCTTGCTCCTAAGACTCTCATACGTTGTCCAAATGCCTACATTCGAGTGAGGGGTTTGACTTTGCTTCTGTGACTGCTACTCATTTCGAGACTGAGTCATCACCCATTCAATTGAAGGTGTGTGTTGATGCACAAAACCGGAGAAATCTTGGAACAACATAAATCCAACCGTGAATCTGCAAGAAAGTAAAGAGCACAAGATGTCTCGTGGTTCACCCCAATATTTGGGCTACGTCCATACTGATGTTGATCGTATTTCTCTGTAACTGTATGTATGGATTACAAGTGTGAGGGGGAGTCCCCCAGAGAAAGAGAGAGTTTGAGAAAGTTTCTCTGTTTGTGAGCCTTGTGGCTTTGTATGTGAGGATGAGACCCTTTGATTATGAGGGTGAGAAGGCCCTTTTATAGATTAAGGACTCCTTACATTTTACATGAATCATGGGCTCAATATCTAGAAGCCTAAGTAATGAGGCCCAATATAATATGATACCAACAATAATCCCCCAAGTCTTCAGTCAAGAGAGTCTTTTGGCTAGAGACTTGAAATTCAGTCCATGTGTGGGCCGAAGTAACTAGATGTCGTCTAGAACTGATACTCGATATAGGGCGGTGCTCAATGTGAAATGATGCTCAACTAGAAGCAACACATGTTGCGAGGATGCTTGGCTTATGGCTTATGTTTCCTTGGTTGGCTCGGCTTGTGACGTTGAAGGTGAAGGAGTCCCTTTTATAGAATAAGGGCTCACTCCTCAATACATAAATGATGGGCTAGAGTTAATGTTCGCGGCGATGCGGTTGCTCAGCAGGTGGCGATGCTCTCTAATGATGGTGAGCTAGTCCCTTTTATAGAATAAGGGCTCACTCCTCAATACATAAATGATGGGCTAGAGTTGATGCTCGCGACGAGGCGGCTGCTCAGCAAGCGGCGATGCTCTCTAATGATGATGAGGGAGTCCCTTTTATAGAATAAGAGCTCGCTCCTCAACACATAAGTGATGGGTTATGAGTGATGCTCACAGCGAGGCGGTTGCTCAGCTGGCGGCAATGCTCTCTAATGAAGGTGATGGAGTCCCTTTTATAAAATAAGAGTTCGTTCCTCAATACATGAATAATGGGTGCTCTCTAATAAAAGTGAGAAAGAGTACCTTTTATAGAATAAGGGTTTGCTCCTCAATACATAAATGATGGGCTAAGTCCCCCAAATATTTTTCATGAGGCCCAGTTGCGGGAGCCTAATATATGGTACATAGTGTAGTCCCCCAAGTCTTCAGTCAATAGAGTCTGTTGGCTAGAGACTTCAAATTCAATCCATGTATGGGCCGAAGTGGCGGTTGTACGGATGCGGTCTTTGTATACCATGCACTGAAGCTTTATAGGTGAAGCTTTGAAAGTGAAGTCTTATAGGTGAGGTTTTGAAAGTGAAGCTTTGAAGCTGGAGCTTTTGTAAATGAAGCTTTGAAGTCGGAGCTTTGTAAATGAAACTTTCGAAGCTGGAGCTCTTGTAAATGGAGCTTACGAAGCTGGAGCTCTGTAAATAAAGCTTTCGAAGCTGGAGCTCTGTAAATGAAGTTTTCGAAGCTAATTGATGTGAGTGATGCTCATGAATGTTTATGTTGATTGATATGAGTGATGTTCATGGATGTTGACATGAGTGATGCTTATGAATGTTGACATGAGTAATGCTCATGTATAATTTTGAAATACTAGACATACTTTTGATCACCTAGTTGGTGATAATAGCAGCAGATTGCCGAATAATTTTGGAGTACTGGACGTACTTTGGATCACATGGTTGGTGATAATAACAGCAGGCTGTCAAATAATTTTGGAGTACTGGATGTACTTTTGATCACCTGGTTGGTGATAATAGAGGGTGAACCTTAAGTGGAGGGATGGAGGTTGGAGTTTGAAGCCATATGACCTTGCTCTTTTGGGCATATGGGCTTTCGCCCTCCACATAACAGTCCATCCCACTATTTTGGGCTTGCCGACATTTTTTTTTTGGCAGATGGCAGACAAAAGGAATAATAATAGACTTATTATTGAGAAAGCTTATCTTCTTTTTCGTTGCTTTTCCTTTTCCGCTTGTTGGTTGTAAAGGTCAGTATACTCCAGCTGTAAAAGGGCAATATTCATTTCTCTAAAGTGACAGCTGCTTGGACAACCTTTCTGACACCACCCATTTGCTTTTCTTAATCTCCCCACTCCAATAGAACTCACCCCTCTCTGACCCTGTTCCATTTTCTGAGCACATATAATAAGCTGTGACTCTTCCTCGTGAGTGTTTTTTTAGTGGGGTACTTTTGCATGTTATCTCGTGGGTTTTCTTTTTTCAGTGGGATAGTGGATGACCGCTGTCCGGGTCCACAATCATGGTTTCCATGCTCGTCGATAGTGGTAGGGGTCAGATCGACAGAGATTCTGAGCTCCTCGTCCTCAGATTTCTTTTTCCAGTGGAAGTACCTCCTGGAGAAAGAGAGTGATGAGTCGTGGAAGTACCTCCTGACTGAAGTTTAATCTTTCTGTGTCATCGCCTTTGGTCGAGAGGCATCTTGTGAAGGAGAAGGGGCACGAGTCTTCACGAAGTTTCTTGAGATCCCTCTCCAATCTCCTTTTCCTGCTTTCTTAAGATCCTTCTCCAATCTCCTCACTATGGCAGTTTTCAAACCCTTTTCGACGGCTTGGGGCATCGTGGCCACTTACACCGGCACCGATAATGAGCAAGTCGTAGTCGAATGACTTGGGAAGGCTGCCATTGCCGGAGAACGAGGAGGCAGAGATTGTGGAATAGAGGGAAAATGAGGCTTCGAAAGATTTAAAGCTTTTAGATTATCAAACATTTTTTGGTTGCTGGTTGTTGCTGGTCAGGGAGAGGACAGTGAGGAACAAGAGGAAGTGGGATGACAGTTAAAAAACCCCAGAACCTAAATTGGATCTTCCGAATTTAAAGTCCGAAAACGACAACGAGTTGGCGACTTTACGGTTCGACTCAGATTTTTGACTTGTGGAATTGGGGATGGCGACGAACGGATCTGGGACTTGGAGAGAGTGATTTGGTGTTCTCCGGGAGAAGCTCTATGTTAACGGACGGGAAGATATGCACATTGTGTAGAGACGGGAATATATGCAAGCCAGGAATCTCTCACCTCCAAACTGCTCTTCAATATGAGGGTCTAGAGTGCAACCTTGCTGACCTTTCTCAAGTTTCCTGGCAATATGATTACTCTTCTTTGCTTCCTCTGTAGTTCATTCTCCTTCCTCTAGGGTATCATTTTTTTTTCTGGGATATTTACGATTTGCTTGGATTCGAAGGCGACGAGGAAGGTGTCGTGTCCGAATGAGGAGAGGGGGTGGGTCGACTCCGTAGGGACACGTCAGTTAAGGGGAATCTACGAGGAGGATGACGGAAGTAGCCTGGAAGATGGGTATCATGGTAAATTCGACCCTCCTGCGGACTTCATGTGCTTCCTG